GATAAATATAAATGGTAGAGTTGAGGGAAATTATTTGTATTATATATATATAATTGATTTGAGTACATATCTACCTTCTTTTTTTCATTTGATTGTTTCACATAAATAATGTTTTGCGGTAAGACTTTCCTTTTTTGTTTAAATATTTTTTTCCTTTTATTATTTTGGTTTCCATGGTATACATATATTTTTTTTATTATTATTTACTCGAATCAAATATTTCCTAATTTAAATATTTTTTTTTTTGTTAATTGTTTTAGGTATAAAATAACTCACGATTTCACACAAATGTGATTGAGGAATTTTAAGTCTCCAATACACCCTATAAAACTGAAGTATTGATTTTTCTAGATCGAACGAATTCTTTGTCCTTGTCGGCTCACTACGGTACCTATCTCTGCCTTCATTATGTTTTAATTTTTTTTTGTATAATTTAAATTCTCTGCTTATGTTTTAATTTTTATTATTTTTATTATTTTTTTTTTTGTATAAATTTAAATTCTAACGCTTTTTTCGTGTGCGTGTCCTTGTTTTTGTCATAATTGGTCGCCCACCTTTTTACCAGTTATAATTTTTAAATATTTGATTAAGTTTATTTTAAAATATTTTTAAAATATTTTTATCAATTATTTGTTTTAAATATAAACAATTTTAACAGTTTTGTCAAATACTAAGTTTTATTTTTTTACTAAAATTAGGAGTAGGGATGTACATTTAACCTGACAATCCAGGCAACTTGAATCGAGTCAGGTTATGTTCATTTTTGTGAACCTGAATGAGTTATTTCAAGTTAATGTTGCTAAAATTCGAGTTAACCCGAACTGAAAATAAATTTACAAAGTACTTAAGATTTCTGACTTCCCCCTATTACTATAACCCCATGTTCTTTTATTTTCTTTAAAAAAATCACACTTTTGCCGACTCACAATTTTCCTTTTTATTTTTCTTATACACCTCAGCTGAAATTATTTTCTATTTTTTATTGTTTTGTTTAATTTTTTATATATTTTTTAAGTTTCTTTTATATTATTTTATAACATTATTATTTTTATTTTTTTAAAAAAATCACACTTTAGGCCTACCCACACGTTTTTCCTTTTTATTATTTTCCCTATTTTCCTTATTATTTTCCTTTGTATGAACAGCTGAAATTATTTTCCTTTTTTTTTTATTGTTTTGTTTAATTTCTTTATATTTTTTAGTTTCTTTTATATTATTTTATTACATCATTATTTTCCTTATTATTTTATTACATCATTATTACACTTTATGCCTGCGCACACGTTTTCCTTTTTATATTTTCCTTATTATTTTTCTCTTTTTTTGTTTAATTTCTTTTATATTATTCTATATTATTCTATATTACATCATTATTTTCCTTTTTGTTTAATTCCTTTTTTAGTTTATTCTATATTATTTTATAACGTTATTATTTTTATTTTCTTTGAAAAAATCACGCTTTATGCTATGGTTTGACCTAGCTTTTTTTATTTTTTTTCTTTAATTTCTTTTATATTTTTTAGTTTTTTCTATATTATTTTTATTTTCTTTCAAAAAAATCACATTTATGCCTACGCTCGAGATGAAAAAATCACATTTAGTTTATTTTATATTATTTTATTAGATTATTTTTTTATTTTTTTAAATCACACTATATACTCCGTTTAATTTCTTTTATATTTTTTTAGTTTATTTTATATTATTTTATTACATTATTATTTTTATTTTTAGCTGAAATTATTTTCATTTTTATTGTTTTGTTTAATTTCTTTTATATTTTTTTTAGATTCTTTTATATTATTTTATTACATTATTAATTTTATTTTCTTTAAAAAATCACAATTTATACTATTTTTATATACATTATCTATAATATGTAATCTAAATTATAAATCATTTTGCACAGGAGTTGTATAAGCTAAATTATAAAAATTATTAGTTGAATTACATATTTTATTTTTTATAAACATTTTATCTTTCATTAAATTAAATCTATAAATATATTTTGCAAAGCAAGTTAATTATAACATGGGAATGAATGTGTTGGGAGAGTAATTATGATTAAAAAAATTATTCTAACGTAGGAAAATAATTAAAATCTTATAAGGCATGCTATAACATTTATTTGTTTTGAATTAATTAACACATTGTTTAGAGAAATTTATTTAATCTCCAAACATATTTTAGAAAATATGTCCTAATACGATTTATTTCTAATCATATCATTTGTGATTTGGTACAGAAAAGGTATAAAACAAGGAAGAGAAACCATGGAAAATTCAAAATTTAGAGATTGGACTGCACTTGACTACGATGTTCTTGGTGTGATTCTCAACAAAATGGTGTCTCTCTATGATTATCTCCAATTCAGCATTGTATGTAAGTCTTGGTATTTTGTTGCATTACGACACAAACACCAACGATCCATAATTACTTCCAAGTTTCCTCAACTGCCGATGCTCATCGTTCCCTCGAAAAATGGTCTTGAAAAGCAGCATTGCTTATACGACCCCAGAAAAAATAGAACCCGTCCTGTTGACTTCAAATTTTGCTTCAACAAAAGGTGTTGTGGCTCCTCTTTTGGTTGGTTGATCATGTGTGAAGAGACACTTAATCTTACTTTATTCAACCCTTTTTCTGGGACTGTGATTTGTCTTCCTTCCATTTTCATAGATGATGAACCTGATTATGCCCCAGACCGCATAGTTAAAGCTATATTAACCAAAGATCCATCGTTATATCCAAACGATTATATGGTTGTAGCTATCTATAGTTCATATTCAAGGTTATGCCTTATGAGAGCAAATGATAAGAGTTGGACGTATTCGTACCCAGAACCAAATATTCCTTTTAAGGATATTAATGTTTCTAGTGATACTTTATATGCTACGGAAAATAATATGATGGTTTGGAAAGTTGAAGTTAAGAATAGAGATGATGAAAGTTCATCGATTTCTATTTCTTTAAAGATGGTCCACGCTAAAAGAACCAATGATTTCGTTGTATCCTATATTACAGAGTCTTCCAAAGGAGAGCTTTTGTTAGTTTTGAGGTCAATATCTGAAGAGGATTCACAATTGGAGACTACCAAGTTTAAAGTCTACAAACTTATTGATGAGTGTGAAAATGACATGCTAAGGGCCGTAAAGTTGAAGAGTTTAGATGGAGATGCTATGTTTATCGGAGACTCTCAATCCATCTGTGTATCAACTAAGTATTTTCCTAAATGTTTACCAAATTGTATATATTTTATCAATGGTTACTACAATTATATTCCGAATTTAGAACAAGATTCAGGGATATTCAACCTAGAAGATAAAAGATTTGCGAACCACTACATACGAGATCCTGCACACAAGAATTTACCTCAGCCCATTTGGATCATTCCAACAATATGTTCCAAAGATTTTGAAGATTAAGATTCATATTTATTTGTATTAGGATTTTGAAGATTAAGATTCATATTTATTTGTATTAGGATATATTTTATCAATGGTTACTACAATTATATTCCGAATTTAGAACAAGATTCAGGGATATTCAACCTAGAAGATAAAAGATTTGCGAACCACTACATACGAGATCCTGCACACAAGAATTTACCTCAGCCCATTTGGATCATTCCAACAATATGTTCCAAAGATTTTGAAGATTAAGATTCATATTTATTTGTATTAGGATTTTGAAGATTAAGATTCATATTTATTTGTATTAGGATATATTTTTTTTATATTATTATTTCTCTTTTATTCTATTATCTATTGTAATCTAAGACGGAGAATGTTTGAATATAGAAAATTTGTTGAAGCTTTTGTTTGCATTTAATACACTAGTTTATTAGTTTCATTTAATATTTATTCTCAGGAAGAAAGTTTATATATTTAGATTCCTAAATTGTCTATCCATACAACAAATATAAACATTTATCAATTTTATCCTTATAAATTTCTACGATTAAAATAATTTATCGAGTATAAAAATAATGTATGTGTGATGATATAAAAATTATATAGTATAAAAAAAATTATATTTCAATTAATTTATATATTTTTTAATAGATATGTGACACTGAATGTATAAGCCAATAAGATTAGTATGAAGGGCCAATACGATATATGACGGAGTGTAAATGTGGAAACAGGGAAGAGTGTAAATTAGTCCGCATTCACGAATAAAATTTGTTGAAGCCTCGGGCCCAACCCAAAGTAGAAGTCAAGTGGCCCAAATCTGAAGCCCAAGCTAACAAGGAAAGCCAGGCCCAACCCAAAGTAGAAGTCAGGTATTTATTTTTCTTTTTCTTTTATTTTATAAATATTGTATATATATTCCATTTTGTACAAAAAAAAAAAAAAAAATTCATTTTTCCTTTTTCTGTTATTAACAGTTATTTATTTATTTATTTATTTTAGTTTAAAAGATTTTTTTCTTTTTTATAATTTATTTTTAAAAAATAAAAAAGAAACATTAAAAAATGTCTCCAGAGGTAATAATTTATTTTTAAAAAATTTATAGATTAAAATAAACAAGAAGTTAAAATTATAGATTAAAATAAGCTTAAAATGACCCTTTTCGATTGGGAGAAGAACAGAATAATACTTCTAACTACAAGGAACAAAATGAGATTTTAGAGTTAAAATTACAAAAAAAATATATATATAGAAAATGTCTCAGCAAACCCGGACAAAGTCATGTAGTTGTAAACTTCCAAACAACACCTTAAAAAAAATGCATTGTTTGAAAATATATAAAAATTAATTACAGAAACTACCTTTGTTACTAAATACAGAAACAGAAACTAACTTTCATCTTTTTGTTCCAATATACAGAAACTAACTTTCATCTTTTTTGTTAACACAGCAGCAGTAATCATCTTGCATTAAACTAAAATAAAATAAAATAAAAAGAATAACACCGCCAATCACATATATCATATATATTTCATCAGATAGATAAAACATTACATTCCTAAGTAACGCGTTAGGTAATACACGGAGTTATTCACAATGAGCAGATTCATACTTTAGATTCATACTTCAGATTAAGAGAAGAAAGACACAACAGATAAATATAGATAGATAGGGGTGGTGAGACCGTTGATTTATTATTTGTGGTTATCCTTTTCTTGATGAGACCACATGTCTCTCTTCGACTTATACTTCACCGAGCACGTTGGACAAACAAAATATTTTCCATTGTGGTGACTTTGGTGGTTAAGTATGCTCTTCTCAACAACTTCATGCAAACACACCGGACAGATTACCATCTTTTTCTCCTTCTTCTCCTTTTTTTCCTTCCCCTTCTTCCCCTTCTTGCTGCTGTTCTCTTCCCTCCACTCCCATTGGTTCTCTTCCATAAGAGAATCAAAGATAATGGACAGAAAAGAAAAGGAGAGAGCTGGACAATGAAATATGGACAGAAAAGAAAAGAAAACCAGGGAATACAGACAGAAAAATAAAAGAAGAAGAAAGCTGGAGGGAATACAGACAGAAAAATAAAAGAAGAAGAAAGCTGGAGAGTGTGGCATGAGAGCAAGTGTATTTTATAGAAGGAAGGAGGAAAGATGGAAGTTGATGGTGAAAGAGAGAGGCTGTTGATCTCCTCTGATTTTGTTCTCTTTTTGTTCTCATTGTTTTGACCAAATGGGGATGCCGCAGACAGTGAAGACAGTGATATTTTACTAGGGGTGGTGGAAGAAGAACGGCTAAGATGATTTCTACCCAAATTTTAGAATCCATGATACCGTCTCTCTTTTATCACACAATGAAGAGTTTGGGTTCTTCAAGAATGGAAGTGTTTAAAAGTAATTGTTTAGGCAAATGAGTCCCAAAATGCCTAAAAATGGAGGAGAAAATGAGGTTTAAAATGGGATTTTGAAGCTTGACTACACCAAAAACCAATTGTGGGGGAGGTGGTGGCAAGAGTTTAAGGCTGTGGGATGACAGGTGACTAGCACAAATGTGGCACTCTTGATATTTGGTGGAAAGTTAAGTGTTAATTTAGCCTAATAAATTGATTAACTTTTAAAATTTGCATCAAACTGGCTATCACTCGATAGATCTTAAAGGGGCAAGAAAATGCTTATAAAGAAGACAACACAGCCATTAGAAGAAGAGAATTCTTTCCGAACTTTCATCAAACAGTTTGCTGATATGACCTTAAATTAAGAAATCAAAGCCATTAGAAGAAGAGAATTCTTTCAGGACTTTCATCAAACAGCTTGCGGATATGGCCTTAAATTAACAAATGAAAGCCAATTGAAGAAGAAAATCCTTTAGAGGAATTTCATCAAACAGCTTGTGGGCATGACCTTAAATTAAATTAAGACATCAACACTAACCTTGTCTCTATCTTCATTCTTAGCTTGTGGGAATCTCAGCCGTATAATTCCATTTACAGCAAAATTTTCTCACCCTGTTTTAAGAAAGAAAAAAAAAATCAAGAAAATATCAGGAATTTCATACACAAAAGATTTCGCTCATCCAAAACCGACTATTTTTGCCATCAATTTTCAATTCAAAGAAAACCGACTATAATATTCATCAAGTTCTTCCTATCAAACTTGTTAATTTTCGAAAAATGGGAAATGATAAACAAAATCGCTAACCTTACATGTGAGCTGAGTTGCTTGCATGTCTTCTCCGCATAGTGTTTCACATTCCCACCAAATACTTGTGATTGAAAGATGCTCAAAAACTGGTGACTGCATAATTCGAAGAAAACCAAAGTAGAAGAGTAATTCTTCAACCGAAATCGGGGTGCACAGCGGGGTATTCATCTCTTTACGCATTTGTTTGATGATAGCTGATTTACAAAAATATATATATATATTAAGAGGAACAGAGAGTGGGGAAGGATATTTATTATTTTTATTATTATTTGTTGTTTTCGACGCTTTGAAACGAAAACGTTGGGCTAGCCCAAAACCAAACCAGCCCAAAAGGAAATTCGAGCCCAATAAGACTGTGCTCATCGTAAATGAGATTATTTATCCGAATTTAAATAATCTAACTTTCACATTTTTCATTCGTTCTTTTTTTAATTTTCATATAAATAAAATTTTATCTCCCTCCCTACAATATTGTGTATTTAATATTGAAATAAAATTAAAAAAAAAAAAAAAAAACTGTAATAGTGTATAAAATACCGATTTATGATGATTTAATCATTATTATAAAAAAAATATAATTAAATTAATAGAATTGATAGAATTTTTAACAATTAAATATTTTTAGAATTAATATTCTCCCGTGTTTATTAGCTCTCATCCATATACTAATTTTATTCGTTCATATATTGGCTAACCTTTTTCATTCATATATTCGAATGTCACGTCCATTATGTTTTGTCTTTGTTGGTCACTGAACCATATTTTACTGAAAGAAGCCGCCCTACGTAAAATTATTCTCGTAAAACACATTTTTAAGTTTAAAGTTCTTATGATTTAGTTATCGAAAAGAAATGTTCAAATTGTTGGTATATGTAATCACTTTCTTGTTCATCTTATCATCTAAATCGCTCTCATTCCAATATGATTTCATTTTATTCGTCTACCTCTCATTTATTTGGTGTTAAATCAAATTTAGAAACTATTACCTTTAAAATTAATTATTTAATAATATATTAATTTAAAAAATAAATAAATAAACTTGCAGATTCGGGTCGGGTTTGGGCTTAAAGTTAGGCTGGAGCATCAGTTTAAGTTTGGGCTTGGGCTTCGGTTTTGGGTCGAGCCTGAGCTTCTGCTTCAGTAATGGCCGGAGCCTAACATCCACTTTGGGTTAGGCCTGAGTTTCCATATAAGCTTGGGCTTCATATTTGGGCCACCTGACTCCTGGAATGGGCCTGACTTTCCTTATTAGCTTGGGGTTTAGGTTGCTTGATGAGTAAGTAGTTGCTTTTGGACCTATTCTATTTAAAAGTAATTATTTAGGAATATATTACAAAGTTCAAATTAATATATATATATATATATATTTTTTTTTTTAGAAAAAAAAATCAAATAATATAATTAAAAAATATTATTATAAACTATTTAATGTTTAAAACTTTGCTTCTTGAGAATAAATATTAAATAAAACTACATTGGAATATTCTCAGTCTTAAATTAATGTGTTTGCATAACAAAATTTCTATATTAGAATATTCTCAGTCTTAAATTACATTGGATAATAGAATTAATAAAAAAATTCTATATATTCTATATTAGAATATTTTCAGTTTTAAATTACATTGGATAATAAAATTAATAAAAAATTTATATATATTCTATATTAGAATATTTTCAGTCTTAAATTACATTGGATAATAGAATTAATAAAAAATTTCTATATATATAACCTCTCATCCTCAAATGGCCAGCTAATATAATCTCAACCAGTTTAGTCTAGATTATTTACCTTGAACATAATTCAACTGGTTTAGTCATAGATCTCAACGACTTTAGTCATATATCAAGTGTCAACATATGCATGTGATAAAAAAGTGAGAGATTTGAATCTTCCAGTCCCACGTATTTAACTAAAAAAACTTCTCTGAATCCAGAAAAATAAAGAACCACTAAGCTTAATCTTTGAACGGAATGCTGTATAGAAACCTTTGTCATGAATGATTTGGATGTTTTGGATCGTTGTATTGGACTCAATTCTTCTGCATCGTTTTGAATTGAACTTTGCCGCTCTTTCTCAAAAGATTCAAAAAACCTACTGTAAATTGAAGGAGATCGAAGAAAGAGAACATGATTGGCAAAGAATAATATGTGCATTTGTCGAGAAACGACTGAAGATTTTTTTGATAATTTTTTTAAATGCCCTTAAACTTTAAAAAAAATTATTGATAACTTTTTTTAAAAGTTCAAAAATATATTTATGTTATATTATGTTAAAAAAATACTCATAAATTTTTAGAGGGTTGTTGATGTACATTAATGCATGAGAGCCTCTTACACGTTTGCTCATGCTAATTTACAAAATATATATTATAATAATGAAGGGTATTTTTTATTTTTATCATTATTATAATTTTGTTATTATGATTTAGTCGGAAGGTGCAAATTATTAGTATTTGTAGTTACTTTCGATTTTTTTAAACTTTTATTATTTATCTTATCTTCTAGATCGCTCTCATTTGTATATGATTCGATTCTATTTTATTCATCTACATCTCGTTTAATCGGTTGATAAATCGATATTTTAAGATTTAAGACTTATTATATTTAAAATTAATTATTTGGGAATATATTAGAAACATTTTAAAGTTAAAAAATAAATTGGTAATATATATATATATATATATATTTTATTTTTTGACGCTCTGAAAAACATTATTGGGCTTTTTTAATGCAACCTATGTCGTACGGCTAAGGCCAACCAAGTAAGTGGTCTTACTATAGGATAGGCTAAAAATTGTATGAGTTATGATGATGTATGAACTATGTCGTACGATGCAGTGTATGACTTATGATGATGTATGAGTTATGATGATGTGTTGGTTACGATACTTGATGATGTGCTCAATACATATATATTTTGATGAATGTCGTACTTGATATGTATGATGCACTTTGTGGCAATATGATGAGTATGACGATTGCGTGACATTTACCTTAATATGATGATGTTTTCCATATTGAGCATGCTATATGATGATGAGTGCCATATTGCATCATGTCGTTAGATCGACATAGGACACAACCCTAAGAGCGTGAAAATGATATTAATATAAATATCCACGAGTATGTGTTATCTAGAGTAACAAAGAGATGAGACTAGAGGGTTGTGTCAGAAGAGACATTATGATGGATTTAGAGGGACCTTATGCATATTGTATGTTCATAAGCATAGGGCTACTTCCCCTAGAGATGATGAGTGCGGACGCGCACCATGTGATAAGCGCGAATGCGCACAGGTGCGAATGCACACAGATGAGGGTGTTCATGAGGCGCATGACACTATGGGGTTCCGCTGACCTCCGGACGTCGCTACAGATTAGCTTGACAAGAGGGTCCAGGGGGTGTGCGAGCACCTTGGGGATTCACACTCGCACGTGTGAGTCGTGTGTAGGGAAGTACTACACATCCAATTTGTTCGAGACTGGAGGCCACCCCTAAGATAATTAGAGATAGATCCCTAAATCATGATTGCATGTGTTTGCATTTGCATAGCCCCTATAGTGGGGCCACTTACTAAGTATTGTTTGAAATACTCAGGCCTTGTGCCACATCATTTTTCAGGTAAAGGCAAGGCGCACTTGTACGGAGGACGGCGACATCGCGAGCAGAAACTGTGGCACGTGCATAGGATAGATTCATATTTAAATTTCTAGTCTTAAGTTAGAATAGGTTGTTTTGCATTTCATTGTTTTAAATTATTTTGTATTTATTTTTGTTTTCTCTAAATTTCAGTAATTCATATTTAAACATGTAAGACCATGGCTGTGTTTTCCAGAGAAGAAGTTGTTTTAAAAGTGTTTTTGAAGTTTACGTTATAAATTATGTTCATGTAAGAATTTTATTTCTGCATTATAGATGAGCATGAGACATTAGTAGCGACTCTGAGTATGTGGAAATTTAGGGTCGTTACAGTTAGTATCAAAGCTCTAGGTTTTAGATTATGTAGACTAGCCTACAATGTAGGCTTGGCACGTTCCATGGTCCCAACATCGATGCCCCGTCACCGTCAGGTATGCCTTGCACAAGATAAGAAAAGAGAAACGTTTTCAAACTCGCATGCATTTTTATGTTAATGTTACTGAAATTGTTGTTATATTTCACGTATTTATTTAAGAGCATGATGTGATGTGTTGCATGCTGAGTGATTTTGTTTGCAATATGATGTGAACTTAGTAGATGTGATGCATAACATAATTTGATAGGTATTGAGCCTTAGACTTAAGAGATGCTATCTGGGTTTCTAGAACCATGATGCCTAGACCATGCGAAAGAGTAAGACGAGGAAGGGGACGACCTCCTATTAGAGATAGAGGACAAGGTGAGGCTGAAGAGAGCCCACTTCGAGAGGGATCAGAGACAGGGTTTGAATTAGAGCCCTTACTGTATGTATGGTCGGCAAGCAGCCCTGGGAGGGTAGACGTAGTAACTAAGGATAGAGAAAAGAATGATCAAGCAATAGTAGCCGATCAAACTCTAAGCGTAGTCCTAATAGTAGTAAAGATGACCGACTTCGACGTCGTACTAGGCATGGATTGACTAGTTGCAAACACATGCTATTATAGAATGTCATAAAAAAAAAAAAAAAGTGATATTCTCACCATCGGTGGGACCTAGCTTTAAATTTAAAGGCACAAATACCGGGGCTACCCCCAAAGGTAGTCTCAATGATGAAAGCAAAGAGATCAGTCCAACAAGGCGGTTGGACTACATTAACATGTGCCGTAGATGTAAGAGTAAAAGAAAACACCCTAGAAAACGTGTCAATTGTAAACGAGTTTTCAGATGTGTTTTCGAACAACCTACATGGAATACCCCCTTTCCGAGCGGTTGACTTCGTCATCGAACTCGAGCTAGGAACTGGGCCTATTTCTAAAGCACCCTATCGCATGGTGCTAGCAGAGTTGAAGGAACTCAAGGCGCAATTACAAGACTTACGGGATAAATGGTTCATTCGACCTAGCATATTCCCCTGGACTGCGCCAGTGTTGTTTGTTCAGAAGAAAGATGGATCGATGCGTTTGTGCATCGATTACAGAGAGTTAAATAAGAGAACCATAAAGAACAAATACCCTCTGCCTAGAATAGAAGACTTATTTGATCAACTTAGAGAGGCAACAATATTTTCTAAGATAGATCT